TGCAAGCCACTTTGAATAAACTCCTTGCCTCTACCCATGCCTGCCTCACATATCCGAGTATGAATGTCTACCCTAATTCTGTTGTTCGATCTTAAATGCCCTTCCCCACATCCCCAGGGAAAGAGAGGTGTGCACAGGCTAAGATCCTAGGCTTCAGTTTCTGACAAGCGTAGATTTGAATTCTAGATCCAGCATTTTTACCAGCCAGGTGCTCTTGACCTCACTAAGCTTTGGTTTCTTCATTAATGGGATAATGTTATTCATGGGGATAATAATAATAGACCCCTCCTAGAGGGTCAAGTGATGACTAAAGGAGATAATCTACACCAAGTGGTTAATACAGGGAACAGGAGTATTCGATATCATTGGTAGTATTTTTACTATAAAATACCAAGGGTAGGAGCGACTGCTCTTTGCCCACCTCTACATCCATTCTGCTCTGTAATCCAGAGGTCAGAGACCTGCTGCTGCTGCCACCGATACCATTACAACTGTTTCTCACAGCCAAAAATCTAGTCACTGAACCCTGGACAACCTGAGTCCGGGCATTTCAAAATAGCAGAAACCACTTACATATCTCAGACACAGTCTGCCAGCATCAACAGCAGCAGGAACATATCCTCCATATCCCTCCCATCTTCCAGTTTACAGACATGGTTTGAGTTAGCAGAGCCAAATTTGCCTCCCAAACACCAGCTGAAGAGGGGCCAGGAAATATTTTTAGCTTCCTGACCTCTCCAGCGAGGAGGGTAAAGCCAAGGTTGGGAGAGCCAACCTATAATATCTACTGCATGATTCATTCCAACTCCACCTTCTCCAACTTGTTCCTGGATTTTTCCTAACTAAAAGTCATCATTCTTCTGCCTTCTCTACATTGGTGGTTTTCACCACCATTGGACAAACCTCATTGGACATTAGAGCCACCTCGGACCTGAAAAATACTTATTCTCGTTCTTTGCCTCCAGAAATTCTGATTTAATTGATTTGGGGTAGGGGTGCACTTTGGAAATTTTTTAAACCCTAATGTACCCTCTGTGTTTAGAACTGCTGCTCTAAATTCTTACAATCTTTCATTTCCCCTCATCACTTCCTAACTTTTGTTTGGTTATTTATAAAATGTCCTTACTCTTCCTACTCAATTATAAGTTCTCTGAGGGTAGGATTGGAATCTACTCTCTTTTATGTCCTTCACAACTTCTGGCAGATTACTTTGCAAAAAAAAAAAAAAAAAAAACAAACCTTAAATGTTGATTGACTGCATGAATAAATGAATGATGGATGATGCCTTGCAAACAAAAGCATATTAAAGATACCAGGCATCAAATCCCTGCCTCTCTCCTGCTTGACGTAGTCTCAAGTACATTTCTTGTGAATCTATTAATTCTGCTCAGCAGAGTAAAAATATAAGTGGATATATTGCTCACAGCACTAGCCTTCTAATCAATAATTCACCAAAAAATATAACTTGACACAAAATTATTCCTGGTTTAAAAAATAACATCTAAGAAACGGCATTCTCAACTATAGACACTATTGCAAATGAACTCACCCTTTCTAAGTAGAAATCTAAAATAAAGGAGGAACTGGACAATGAAAGTCAAGTTCGGTCATGACACTGGATTTCTGAGATTTTTTTTTATTTTTAGATACATCAGTTCTTTGATATATCAATGTATCTCTAAATCAATCTTCTAAAACCCCAGTAGGCAATGATAAAAATTCTGTACTCAAACTATTGTATAATTGCAGAATGACTTCGAAAGAAGTTTGACTAGAATATATCTAATTGATACATATAATCCCTTTGAAAGAAGTTTGCCAAGAACTTGATATTGATACTAGCATTTCAGAGTTCATACCTAAAAAAATTAAATGCTATCCAATTGGGTTACATTGTAATATTAAGATTTCTTATGGTTCATAATTATAGATCCGCTTTTTAGATCTTTGAAAGAAAAGGATTTAAAATCTTTGAAAGAGAAACTTTTCCCAGTACCTTTGCCAAATTAGCCCTCAGATGGGGGTTCCTGAGATAAGAATCACAGGGTCCTCATCTTTTTTTCTCACAGCTTTGCCTGTTAGGAAATGATTAAGAGCAAGCCATTGGATCTGCTCTCCTGGACACAGAGTTATTTCCTGAGTATTTAAAAATATTAACGTTAGGGATAAAGAAGAGGAAAAAGGACACAATGATGTTTAGAAAAGAATAAGTTAGGTAAAAAGTGATTTGATTAGAGAAATTCTTTTGCTTCTTTTGCCTGCCCCCACTGCATTTAGAACTGCTTGTGTTAAGAGTTCAAATAGCTTTAAGAAGCTTTAGTTTCAAGGTCTTCTTTAATCCTGAATGTACCCAGGTGAAAATTTGTTTCCCAAGACTCACCATTTCCCAACTTCAGAAGAGATCTTGCGCCATTCTCCCATTTGTCTTTTCCCCTTCCTTTCCTGCCAAATCAGGATCGATCCTCCCTCCCTCACTTCCTTCCTTCCTTCCTGAGTTCCCACAACTTAACTTCCTTAAAGTCTTCCCAGGAAGGTCTCCTGATACTGTAGCTCCTCACCCGCTTTTCTATTAGTTCCCTAAGAACTCCATGGTTCCAGTAGAATATGTATCACGTTTGTGGTTATAACACCTCTATTTGGATGGGTTCACATATCCACAGGTAAATGAGAGACTTCATGAAAATGAGGGTTGAATTTCTAAGTGTATTCTCCCCAACCAAGAATAAGAAGGTGAACATTTAGTTTGTTCTCTTAGCTCAAATTATGTTCACTATTACCAAGGTAAGAGTTAAACTAAGAGAATCCAGACTTCTGGAGGGCAGCGAGTTCAAATATTACAGAGTAGATATTCAATACACATTGACCTAGACTAAAGGCCTTGTCTCACTGTATAGTTCTATAAAATGCAAAATCACAAGGTTCTGAGATGTTGAAATGACTGTTGCCACCCGACCCAACTGTCCGACGCTGCTTTAAGAAAAAAAAAAAGAAAAAATAAGAAGTAACTTTCTTCCTCAAAAAAAATAAAATATGGTCCATTTTGTTAAGAATTTTCTATGGAGCAAGGCCTATTATGTGGTTAGGATGGGGATACTTATTTAGACAAGTATTTATATTTATTGATTATATATTTTGATATCAATATGTATATATTTATAAAATAAATAAGATATAGGTATTGCAATGTTGTGTTTAAAGTGCTGAAACACTACCAGTTTTGTAATCCCCTCAGTTGCTTCTTCATTTTATAAGATACTAAAAGCCTCACCAAATGGAAGTAGACTGGGAGTTCCCTTGCTCCATGATGCTATTATGTACATCTAACGCCAAGTAAGTACTAATAATGAAGATGACATTTTCCATACTAAGTGATGAAAGTTAAAGGTATATAAACCTTATTTCACTATTAAGAGATAAACATATGATCACTGTAAATGTGAATAAAACTCACATTTTAAAATCTTTCAAGGGAATCAGATCTATTTTCCTCCTGTTTCTAAGCCCTCGGCAACTCTTTGAGTGTGTTTGTATTCACTTGGAAGGGACATTTCTGTGGAATCAATCAAATAGGGAATTCAATGTTCTTTGCAGATAATTTTGGCATGTTCCATTGGGAACTTTCTAGTATGAATTTTCATCTTTCCTGGGAAAAAAACCCACATGTTCTAAATCCTCAGTCTTTTCTCTGTTAGTGAAGAACAATATAGCGAAGCTGTTATGTACAGAATTAATGACAATATATATTCAGCAAGACAGTCTGCTGGACACCTCATCATTAAAATAAAAGAAGGCAAAAATGTATGAGAATACAATTTGAATGTACTAAATAAAAACTAGCATTAAAAATGCTGTGAAAAGCATCACAATAACTGATTTTCTGATTTTGCTGCAATTAAAAAAAAACCAAATTTCCAAGGTAGAAAATTAGAAAATATTCATAGCTCCTAATATATTCAAAGTAAATCCAAAGATAACAAAACTCATTTTCCAAGAAAAGCAGTGATAGTGCTTTTGGTGACAATGAAAAACTCATGTTCAATGCCTAATTAGACCTTTTGAAATCCGTAGGTTCTGTTCTTTACCGGTTTCCTTATTCTTGCCTTGGCTCTGTGTTTCGTATCAGTTTTTTATTCAGCAAGTGCTGCTAGTCACCATTCTATATACATCTTAGTTTAGTCCTAAAACCTGAAGAAGGCTAGAGCTCTTTTCTACCACTGATGGTTTCCCCTGCATTCTACATCTGGGCAACTGTTCAACAGCAACCAGAAAGACCTAGCACTTGGACTAAGTCCTACCTGCTAAGGAGTTGTATTTGGCCAGGTTAGTGTGGGCCATCCAAAAGGAGATGCCCAGGAGGCAAGTGTAGCTTTAGCTACAGATTTGGGAATCAACAGCATATTTGGGGAGGTTCAAGCCCCAAGGAAGGAGGATGTCCCAACGGAGAGTATGTAGTACAGGAAGATGTGAGAACTAATGTGCAGAACCCTCCTGAGGTGCCCAATAAAGATTTGAGAAATAAAAGAATGGCCTAGAAAATGACAGTGTACTTGATTATTAACTTCCACGTCAGACTGTTGTGATTTCCAAGGAACTCTGCCTCCAGAACTCTCCAGCAAGTTAGGAAGTGATGACAGTTAGTGAAAGACCTATCAACAGTTCATATTTATATCCTTGAGGTGAAACCGTCCTCTTTCAACACATATCACGTTTTCATTGAAGTTCACATTAGTGAACGATGAATACAAGATGTTTTTCACAATCTGGCTGTGGGCTTACTGCATTTTGTTAGCAAAACACACAGGAACTGCCAAAATGGGAGGGTAGCCTTTCCTAAATCACTCCAAATGTCACCATGACTACAGCATATTTTCCTAAATTGCTGTTTTGTTTTTTTTGCTTAAGATATAAATTCATTCAAGTGTTTGGCTCCTATTAAGGCTTTATAATTTATCTTATAAAAAATTTGCTTTCAAGTACATGAATCATTTTCTTATTCACAGGACTGAACCAAAATGACAACTGCTCAATTTGATTGTCAATACTGCACAGCATCACTTCTTGGGAAGAAGTATGTACTAAAGAATGACAATCCATATTGTGTCTCATGTTACGATCGTATCTTTTCTAACTATTGTAAAGAGTGCAAAGAACCAATCGAATCAGATTCCAAGGTAGGTTTTCAATTCATAGAATGATTGCATGCAAACAAGCAGAGAAATGCTTTGGAATGCCTCATTTCCTTCAGTATTGACCGTTAAGACTGTATGGCTCTATTCCTGGATTTAAGCATCTTCAAAGTTACCATCAGTGACCAGGTACTGTGCTTAGCACTATGAAATATAACATATATACTTTAATCCTCACAATGATCTTAGCAGATAGTTTAAGATGCTAAAGATTAAAGAGGTTACGTTATTTGCCCAGAGTTACACAGCTAAAATGCTGGTTTATTTCTGGAATGACAAGAGTATAAATGAATAAATACATAAATCATCGGAAGTGTAGAGATTTCAAAAATCTGTATTTTCTGACTTCAAATCAGGCTCATCCCCCCTAAGTCCACTGGGCCCTCATACAGCCCATTCCTCCCACAATGCACATTATTGTTTTTTTCTTTTTCTTTTTTGTCTTTGTTTTGTGGTGTTGAGATTTTGTTTAATCTCAACCAATAATAGGATATTACAACCTAAAAATAAAAATCACTCCATGAAAAACCCCTCTTATAGTTGATAAAAGGAAGAGGAAATCTGAAGAAATAGGAAAGAGTTTGTTTTCCATCTGTCTTTAGTGACCAACTAAGAAAGCCCCAGGCTCTAGCTCTTAATTGCCCCAGAGAGGCTCCCTCCATGGGTAATAGTATCAATGACAACTTTCCCTCAAGCTACCAGCACAAACTACTGACACACCAGAGTCCCAAGAGTGTTCAGTTTTGTCTTATCAAATGACCTGTTTAGTCACTAGCACATTTAATTAATTCATATTTACTGTCTCGAAGGATCTTTGTTACAAAGGCCGAAACTGGCATGAAGCATGCTTCAATTGCGCCAAATGCAATCACTCTCTGGTGGAAAAGCCTTTTGCTGCCAAGGATGACCGTCTGCTGTGCTCAGAGTGCTATTCTAACGAGTGCTCCTCCAAGTGCTTCCACTGCAAGAAGACCATCATGCCTGGTAAGATCCCAAGGGAGCTCCAGTCTCTCACTGAAGCTGCAACACTCTGAATTACACCCAAGCATAGGAAGAGTATAGTAGCTAAGAAAGTCCTCCTCTGGAGAAAAACATCTACCTTGCTATCTCTTGATTTCATTGTGTCTTTTTAGAAATAAAAGGATTATTCTTTCTGGGTAATTATTCTGTATGGGTAAATTACAGTGTTCCATCTATTTTCATGAAGTTAATTCATAGAGACATTTTCAACCACAATCTGAGCCACAGACTAAAGATAAAATCTAAACCAATAACACTAACGCTGCATTAAACACGCTGTCCTAGGCATAATAATGGCATTGGGAAGCATAATCCATCATAGGAGAATGGGGCCAACCATCATTTTGTAGCAGGACAAAAAATGGTTTGAGGGTCCCTCATCTTTGTTCCTTTTAGGCCAAGTCAAGGATTCATGTACATCATTATACTTTCAGGCAAGCACTTTCTCTGTTTTGATTCTCTTCTAAACCCCTATGGATAGCAGCATAAAACACGATTCTCTCTCATTTCCTTATTATGAATTCAAAGAGTTTCTAGGAGACCATAACTGCACAACATCAATCTCAAGAGTTTGTGCCTCAGGCATTCCTAATATCCCAGTACTGATAATTATGGCCCAATCTATCTAAACCACATGCAGCCCTTCAGAGTCTCCACTAGTTGTACTTTCAAATCTCAAAATTGTAGCTTACAAAGCACAAGAGTTTTCAGTAAAAGAGCAACTCACCTTCATCATGGCTGAACTCTACCTTCTTTTTTTTCAGATAAATGTTTTAGAAGGCAACAAAACACTTTTTCTATAAGGACAGTTAAGTTTATCATCTTAATGTTAAAATATATATATTTTGAGTAATTTGACATATCTTTACTTAAAATAAATAAAATGATGTTTCATTTGTACTAACAGGTTCTTATTTGGGGTGGGGGGGACAGGTTCCCGCAAAATGGAATTTAAGGGAAACTACTGGCATGAAACCTGTTTTGTGTGTGAGCATTGCCGACAGCCAATAGGAACTAAGCCTTTGATTTCCAAAGAGAGTGGCAATTACTGTGTGCCATGTTTTGAGAAAGCGTTTGCTCACTACTGCAGCTTTTGTAAGAAGGTAATTATCTAAAGAAGATGAAGCTTGTGGAACCTTCCAGACCACTGCTTTTTAACATTCCTAGATATTTGGAATGCACTGACCCTATCACGTTCTGTCTGTCTTTGCATGTGCATGTTAGTTTTGAATTCTGGCATGTCAGAAGCACACTACTGGTCACAATGAAGATGGCCACCTATTTTTACCATCATAAATTTCCACCCAGGACATGAATGTAAGATTCCAAAAGCTCAAGATAGTCCAGTTCCATTCACTGCTACCACACAGGAGTTCCTGTATTCTGGCAGAGGGCACACATCACTTGTGGAATACAAGATATTTCCCAGAAAATAGTTTGGGATCCATTTCGTTTCAGAGAAATATGATTTTTCTCACAGAGTCGCTGACAGAACCAATTTAAACGGGATGTTTAACTTCTCACAATTTAAACAGGATGTTTAACTTGCCAGCAACACAAATGTCTTCTTGGTTTAAAGCTTTAATATTTCTAAAGAGTAGGTAAGTAGACTCAAGAGAGTGACAAGATCACTGGGGAAATTCACTAGACAGAAAGACAGAGAGAGGACAAAGGGCAGCATGTGGTTCGCTTCCAGTTCCAGAGCATCATATAAGGCCTTCTGACTTGGATACCCCTTCAAAACATATCTTCCAATAAGAACAAAGTCCTGCCTTCAAGTAAACTTTGTCCATCTCTTTTTTAGCCTTTAAGCTTTTATATGAAAGAATAAATTTCATATAAGCTTTTATATGAAAGAAAAATATTTATGTTGGGTAGTAGACAGATCACTCATCTCTATCACCTTGGTAAAACCTGTCTGTGTTTCATAAAATATATATTGATGTACTTGGAGAAATCCTTGACCCATGAGGCATCATAAAGTTTAAAATAACACTATAAATTGTGATGGGAAAGCAGTGGTGTCTAAACATTTTTGATCTATGAGATGCTCTGGCAGATCTCAGGACCATTTGTATAATTGCATCTGGACAGCTAGAAGTCTCACTACCACTTTCTATGGGAGCACATGAGCACGGTAAATTTCTACATGTATTTAAAATACGAGGACTACATTTGCAGAGGAAACAATAAACTCCTAAGTCATAATCATTAGATTACACTATAATGATGGCTGAAATTACAATTGACAGGAACATGATATAAAACCATCTTACACCCAGAGACTTTCATTACTCTACCAGTAACACTGACTTAGACAATGACTTTATAAGCAACTCTCAGATCCTATGACCCTGCAATATATGAAGCTCAGAAGATTTACCAGAATTGATGACCTGCATTTTATTTTTTTTTTATTTTACTATATTCTTTTTTGAGAGAGAGAGAGAGAGAGCATGCACAAGGGGGGTAGGTAGAGGCAGAGGGAGAGGGAGAGAGAGAGAATCTTAAGCAGGCTCGATCCCATGACCCTGAGATCATGACCTGAGCTGAAATCAAGAGTTGGATACTCAACCGACTGAGCCACCCAGGCGCCCTGAAGACATGCATTTTAGAAACAGATGCTGGAAATAAAATGGTAGATTTATCTCACTGTTTTATGGGACAACTAAGTTGGCCATGTTCATGTTATGTTTCTTAAAGACTTAAGCTAAAATATTAATGAGACTTGTGGGAATTATCTTAAAATCATTTATTGGGCATACAATATAAAGTATCTTTCAATGCTATAAAGATTCAAGAGGGGGAATTTCTCTAGTATATCCATGCTACGCACTATTTGAGGCCAAAGCACTGGCATTTCCCAAGTTATAGGAGCCTGTCCTATATTTAGGACATGATTTGAAGTCACCAAAACTTTGTGAAATATTTATGTTGGGTAGTAGACAGATCACGACATGCCAGATTATTTTCTATTTAACTTTTAAAACTACAAGTCATTTAAGGAAAGCTGGATATAAATGTTTCTGATCAAGATGATCCAAGCTGAAGAAAAACAATGTTTCAACTCAAACCAAAGACCAAATAAAACAAACAAAATGGGCAAAAAATACTGGACAACCAGGCCCTTAGAACTTTTTTCATAGATTTTATTTTGTGAAACTAAAACTTATTTTCTGGGATGCCTGGGTGGCTCAGTTGGTTAAGGGTCCGGCTCTTGATTTTGGCTCAGGTCATGATCTCAGGGTCTGGGATCAAGCCCCACATCGGGCTCCTTGCTGGGCGTGGCGCCTGCTTGGGATTCTCTCTTCCTCCCTCTCCCCCCACTGCCCCCACTCTCTTTCTCCCTCCCGCTCTCTTAAAAAAAAATAAAATAAAATAAAAATAAATTAATAAATTAATAAAACCTATTTTCTACCAAAAACAAGGAACCTTAAACTCCAAGTGCTTTGAATCCAAACTCCTCGAGGTTCAAACAGAGTATTCTCTGATTCATTGGCTATGGTCTATGAAGCACAAAACCAATACTGCCTCCACTTTGCCGGAGAAGAAACTTGTTCTAAATCCTGGGATCAATCAATGGCAAAAACCACATCTGGATATTCGGCTTCATCTCAGCCTGCCCGCCTCCTCAAAAGGAACATAATCATAAGCAAACTATTTTTAATGTTCCAGAGTTTCTTCTCCCTAATTAAACAGTCTTTGGAATATTTATCAAGTTTTCTTTTGCTGTGAATACATTTTTCAAGTTTGGAATCTTTTAAGCATTGCCTGCTAATAATTTGACCAAACAAATCAAAGGAATCTTGAATTCTGCTGTCCCCGTGGTGAGGCATTTGAAATCAGTAGGGGGTATTTTAAATTGCTTTAGTTCACACACACCATTATGTTTCCCATTTTTTCCTTTAGGAAAAATAACTGTTTTATCAAATATCTTTAATTTTTAAGATATTTGTTGTAAGATTCAAAAATATCTTTAGAATCATCTTTTCAAAAGCATGTATCATAGACAACATTTTCTTAAATTTTTCATCAATGAGACGGCTTAGAAGAGGCTCTACATTTTCTATATGCAGTTAATTTGAATACAAAGATTACAGGACTCGCCTCAGAGAGCACATGAACATATTCCAGATTCCACAGCTACTCCAAGAGCTCAACAGCCATGGGTTCAAAAGATGCTATGACTTAAAAATTGCTACCCAAGAACAGTTGTCCAATATTTACCCATCTGATTCTAAATAAAGATGTCTCAGCCTTTTAAAAAGTACAACCCATGGATTAAACTGGTTTAGAAAAAAAAATATGTTATGGAGGAATAATAATCATCTCTGACAAAATCCTCGCACATCACACATTAAGGTTCAGCATACAAGCTGTGCTCATCATTACTTAGAAGTTCCAGAGCTGAAAACCCATGCAGTTGGCACAGCACCCCATTTGTGCCAGATACAATACCAGAATTGCTGTCCAAATGTTTTTCCCCTTGGTGTTTGTTCATTCATTCGACAAGGACTTATCAACTGTTCGTGAGTGAAAAGTAACCTTGCCTCAGGATTGTTTTACTGGCTAAGCACACAGGCTCAGGAGTCAGACTGTGTAGGTTTGCATACTAGTTCTGTGTGACCTGGCGAGGGACCTGACCACTCTAATACTCAGTAGTTTCTCATCTCTTAAAGGGGGAAAGATCATAGTCTTGGCTGTGTCGGATGTTAAGAACAACCAAGAAGAGGTCATCCCTTAGCACAGGGCTGAGGACTGAAAGCTCACTTCAGAAATATTAGTCATGATTAGTGGACGATGGTCCTTAACAATGCCATTCAGCATTGCTACTGCTGGAATAAAGCTTTCAGGGAAAAGTAGCTTTTTTCAGCATCCTTAGACATGGAAATAAGAACCTGGTGTAGAAAACACCTTAGTTCTGATGGCAGATCTTTGAAGCCCAACAAGAAAGAGAAAGATGAGAAAAGGAATCGAGGATCTACTTCTTTTTCATTTTCCTGAGTCCAAGATGGCCCTGCTTCTTCTCTATTCCACTGTAAGAGAAAAATTAGGATATGTCTTGCCAGTTCTATTTAATCCCTATAGCCTTTTGCTTCTCATTGATTCAAAAAAATCACAGGGAAAGGACATCCTGACACAAGGTGATAGAGTAGCCGATAGAGTAGCCGAAACTACCACTTGTGGACACAGAAGAAGGTCCGAATTGTACTAGCTTCCATGGTCACTGCCTTTTTGTGATCCTCTGGCAGGTGATAACTTCAGGTGGGATAACGTTTCGTGACCAACCGTGGCATAGAGAGTGTTTTCTGTGCAGTGGCTGTAGGAAAGAGCTCTGTGAAGAAGAGTTTATGTCCAGAGATGATTATCCATTCTGTTTGGACTGCTACAACCATCTTTATGCCAAAAAGTGTGCAGCCTGCACCAAACCCATTACTGGTGAGTTCTTAGTTTTACTATGGTCCTACGATGGCTATGTAGATTTGCTATATAGTTAATTTGGGAAACACGAGTAAAAAATGATAATCTTCTGAGATACACACACAGGGGTACCCACACATAAATACAAATATTACACAGACCCCCTCAAGGCAAATGGAGAGCATAATTAGGGTTGCCATGTTCTGTAGAGGGTAATTAATACTAAACCTAATGGTAATGACTTAAGTAATCATTCAGGGAAAGAGGAGAACAGGATGAGCTGAGAGGTCAGAGAACTTCACAAGGAGGCCTGACATTTAATGACTTGAGTGGGAGAAAGGGATACTTATAAATAAAAATCCTGCTTGATTCCAAACAAGGGCAAAGGGCCCTAAAATAGAAAAGGTTTTAATTAAATGCAAGTATTGTACAAAAATCTGAAGCTGTAATAATTAGGGTGGCATAGGTCAGGAATTAATTAAACTTCATTTTGAGATGCTTCTAACAAGTGTATCATTCTCATTTCTCTCAACCCATTTGCAATACATTTTAATTATGAATAGATAAAATAAAACAAGATGGCATTCTGCTGAATGAACAAAATACATGTGACGGGATTTGAAAATATCACAAATGGTAAATTGATCCATGTTAAAAAGATTTTCAAGGTAAAATGATGCATTATATTTTCCCCAGAAGTATTTCCAAAATGCTAATCCTATAGTAAAAAAAAAAATGAAGCTGGCATGACATGAGAATCCCAGCGGCTATTCTTCTAGGTAGAACTGTACTTCTAGTCCCCATTCCTAGGATTCTTAGGTCGTATTTCATTTCTTTTAGTTTAGTTTATGTAACACGGAATTAAAGATTATTTTATCCTTTTCCTCCTCCTCCATCTTCAAATACATCACAAAATAAAAGTTGAATCTTCTTAAATCTTCAAAGAAAGAAAAGAGTTTCACGGCAAACCCAGCTTGGCAGGTTTTCACTGACTTGCAAGGGGAGGGAGAGATTTACCCAGACAAACAGACAAGGTCCCATTTTTCTGCACAGGGCACCATATTTTTCAACATCTCACCCCGGTCCAGGGCTACTGCTGGCTGGCAGGTGTGTTTTGTTTGGCCTGCACATGTTTGGAAACAACTAGTGCAAAACCCATCTCTGCAGCCAAAAGTCCATGAAGAACCTGCCGGGGTGAGCAGACCGCCCTCGCGTTCCCCAGCTGGGTCTCTGTCCCAGGCTCAGCAGCTGCCCCAGTGCCCTGTTCCCCACAACTCGTCTCCATCCCTCAGCTCTGTTACCTTCCCAATCCTTGCACTGGATTCTGTTGGCAATCCCAGACTACCGGGCTCCAAAGCTTAGGCTCTTCACCACTCCACTCCCCTGCCTCTACACATCTCACAGCTCCTACAGTCAGGGGAATGAGCCACTGCCGCTACCAGTTTTAGTTAGAAAATGGGACTTCCAGAAATGCATCAGTCCTGGGAGCTCATAAATCTCCTTGGTAAAATCTGCAATTACAGCCCAATGCATGCAGTTGATTTATTCTAGAACACTTTTCTTGAACTAGCCAGAAAAAGAAAGGGGGGCTTCCGTGAGGAAATGAGAAAATTAAACAAGTCAAAGTGGGTTTAAACACTTCCTGGGTACCCAAACAGCTAATACTGACCTGCAAAGAGCCTATGTGAGCCCTGAACTTGAGGAGTTTCAATTCTCATCCATCACAGATTCACATAGCTAAGTGACTTTTTTCTGTTGGGTTGTTTCTTGTTAATCACTGAGCCCAGGTCTTTCAGGTTGAGAGAGAAAAAACACATTGTCCTGCAGGTAATATAAGGATGATCAAGAACCACAGATTTGACCCAAAAGTAATCCAAATACAGGATTATGTATTTAACTTAGAATAATCAGCTTTTTGATAATTATCTTAATCTTCTTTTGGCTCTGATGAGAGACACCTGAGACTAAAATGCCTGCAGAAACTTCCAACGCACTTCACTATTTTTTTATCTGATATATATTTTTTTATCTGAATATATATATATATATATATGCTTTGCAGTAGTGTTTCTTTAAAATTGAACTCTTTGAATTAATGTACCACAGGGAATTCTTATGCTGCCATATATTTATCTTCTGAAAGTTGCACACGCATGCAAACAAGGTGTCAATCTAAGAAACTATGTTAGGGTGTTTTCAAAATACTTTTTTATATTAACAATCTATCTATGAGTCTCAGGTGTGATTTTTTTAAATCCCATCAGAATAAATTTGATTCATTTGAACAAACTCAAGGTAGAACTATACTTTTTTTCTCCTCTAAGATAGGATTAACCTTTCAAATTTTCTGGGATAAATGAAGTAGCTTGATGTAGGGACGCGCTCTGGACTAGCGAGTAAAAGACCTTGGCCTTGGCTCTGCCCCTGAGGACTGTGGGACCATGGGTAAAGAACTCACCACCATGGAGGTCCTCATTTGCCTTGCTTGCAAATGAGGAGTTGAATAGGATCACATCTTTGCTTTCTGCCATTTCTGTTTATTTTGAGTAAAAGGAGTTTCAAATGTTATTTCTTCTGAAAGGAATGCTAATGTTCCTGGCTATGGTCTTTACAAAAGATAAATTCAGACTGAATTTGGGGAAGTTAAGAGCACAGGTTCTGAAGCCAGATGGCCTAGGATTGAATCCCAGATGTGTCACATACCAGCTGGCTGATTTGGGCAAGTGGTTGAACCTCTCTGTTCATCCATTTTGTCTGCAAAGCAGAGTTGATGGTAAAGTGAGAGCTATGTGAAGCAGTACATGTGAAGGGCTTAGAATAGTGACTGACTCATTTTCAAGGGCTCAACAAATGCTAGCTCTCATTCTACTGGATTTTCAGTAATAAATGAAGTCAAATAAAACAGGTGCCAGAGAACAGTCTCCTGGGGGACTTTATTAATACAAATGACCCTCTGACCTGAGGGAGTAAATGTATTCAAAATTGAAATAATTTATAAACATCTCACATGTTGAGCCTGCCTTTCTTAAATTCCTACTACCAGATGCTTCTATTTCTCTTTTCTTTGTAAAATTCTGGAAGAATTATTTTTATATTTACCACTTGTACAGGCTTACTAATAAAATCAAGAAAAGCTCATGAGCATCAAAATGCAAGATGTGTAATAATTAGTTTTATGAGCAGAGATGATTCATGCATATATAGCATATGATTCTTGTAGTCAGCTTATTACTGTTTTGAATAACATTCAGGGAATTAATTGGTTCATTATTGATTTACTCTTATTAGCAAGTAATGATGATAGCATCATAAATAAGCAAGCTATACAATTAATCAAAGAAGGTAAAGAATTTGATGTGCATTTATTTATAATCTAGTTAATTTCATGTAAAGACATCGAATAACATTTCTGGTATGGAAATAAAAGTTCATTATCATATTTAAGGAGAGTTTATCTGAAGTAGAATGCTTATTCACCTTTTTTTCTTCCCCAAATGGAATATTTATAAATTATATGTGAATCAACACATGACTATGTTAGCCGCACCCTGTTAGTAATGAGCAAATCATGGCAAGTTCGTACCACTATGATCACTTGGAAAAAAACTTGGCAAATAAAGACCCAAAGCATCCCAAATCCTTCCCAACCGCTATACCTTTTCTCCCTTTCAAATCCTCAAAATCAATTCCTTAAACTGTAGTCTGGATCCATATTAGGGATATAGAAAGAGATTCTCACTGAAGACTCAAATTTTATTACCTTTCTTAGAAAACGTTATGGCTGGGCGCCTGGGTGGCTCAGTTGGTTAAGCGACTGCCTTCGGCTCAGGTCATGATCCTAGAGTCCTGGGATCGAGTCCCATGTCGGGCTCCCTGCTCAGCAGGGAGTCTGCCTCTCCCTCTGACCCTCTTCCCTCTTGTGCTCTCTATTTCTCATTCTCTCTCTCTCAAATAAATAAATAAAATCTTTAAAAAAAAAAAAACGTTATGGCTCACGTGAAGCCCAGGTGGAGGTGGTGGGGGCTGACAAGGCACTTCTTAGAGGCTAATTACTAGATAGCATGGCCTTAGTGGCCAGAGTGATCAGACTCACAGATCTTTGTTGCAAGCCTGGGCTGAAGTTGTCTCTGAGCAAGGTAATCAGGTCGTCATGTTAGGCTAGCTACACGATGGTCCGGATGAAATCTTCTATTGGGGGCTTTTGGAGATTGTGTCCCAAACCACAGTTATCACCATGGAACTTATATCTTAAGTAAAACTAAACATAGAAATAGAGGAAAGAGAACTCAAAGTCATTAAAACATCAGACACGAGGCTAGGAGGTATACATTTATTTTACTGTACCTTAATTTTGCTTCTAAGAAAAGAGGGTCATGAAAAGAGAAAGAACATATTCATACCTAGATATCTCTGACTTTGAAATCTATCTCCCCTTCCCACAGCATTTTACTGTACTTCCTTATCTTTCTTAGGTGATCTATCTCTGTTTCCAAAAATACCCGTTTTGTATATTCAGATTCTACCTACTTTTGTAGATTATGAAAAAGGTTGACTGGGAATCAGGCTGGATCTCATCAGAGGAAATTGCCTCGGGTGACATTTCCAGGTGGACACAGGGGCATGGAAGGCCGCTTTACTTGCCTCTCTGCAGTCTTCTTGGTCATTGCTGTTCTCTGCAGTTCCTAGGAGAGTACCTGATGGAATGCTTAATCTATTCATTCTTTTCCCCCAATTCCTTTCCAGGTCTCAGAGGTGCCAAGTTTATCTGTTTTCAAGACCGCCAGTGGCACAGTGAATGCTTTAACTGTGGGAAGTGCTCGGTCTCCTTGGTGGGGGAAGGCTTCTTGACCCAGAACAAGGAAATCTTGTGCCGCAAATGTGGCTCTGGATTGGACACTGACATCTAGACGGAGGCAATCTTTCTTCACCTGAAGTCCACCTTGCTTGTGTTCTCACTAAATCCAGAATGTGCTTGAAGTAGTATTTCTGACTTACATTTTAGCAAATATTAATGTAGAGTTTATAGCAGAAGGAATTTTGCACACATTCTGATTGAACTATATCATAAGAGCTCAGAAAAAGCACAGTGGAACAGGAATGAATATAGCCTCACAAAGGCATCTCTCCTTGCAAAACACTGCACTCTGCTGTTAAAAACAAAGGAAAATATCTCCTTATGGTAATCAAACACATGACCTATACCTAGAAGTCACGGATGTTATTATCGAAGAGTGATGTTTTTCAAAACTGCAGAGTAAAAAAGGAAATTAAGAGATTAAATTAACAGGCGCACGTGAAGCTAATGTTTGCATTCCTAGCTAGCTAGTGATATATAATGTGATAGATTGGCTATTCATGGTAGAAGAACAAAACCTATCAGGGAAAACTGATTAGTAATCACCCTATTTGAGAATTCTGTCACTTTATCATTCTTTTATTCACACATACTGACTTTGGAGTTGCAAAACAAAGCTGCAATTTACCCTCATCTACACTGCTTTCACAGCTGGTTGATTCCATGTTTAACAAATGGAAACAAGAATTTGGACACTATGGCTCTCATACTCTGCATGGGTATAAAGGGGTCCTCTCTACCTAGGGATAGTCCCAGGCTAGGTTTCAACACATGTTATATCAAATGCATTTTCAAAGCCCACAGTGATTTTTCTAAATACTTAACAGATTCCATGAAAGAGAAGTCTCTTGCTTCAAATCAGCTAACCAGGGTAATCATTGTCCCCAAAGGCAAACCTTTAAAGTAAATAGATCATTAAGTCATCACTTGTGGAAATGAGTTTTAGGGAAGGGATTGAGTGATGGAACATGACTTTCATCCAGATATCTAAAGGCATAATAGAATGCATAATTAACTCTGAGCTTCATGCATTTTGCCTTCTAAAATTACATAGATGATTAATGGGAGGACATAAAATTGGGCTTTAACGAAATCTAGTAATAATAAGAAGTGAGAAAGAATAATTCACTGCTGATAATTCAGGGCCTGCAAAGCAGTACAATACAGCAATGTGGGCTGTGGATGAGCCACCCCCCTGCACTGTTGCTCCATACCTGTGCCACCCACCTCACCCCATGCCAACCATGTCCCAAGAATTCCAATCTCCTGCATGGCCCAGAGGTGCACTCCCAACCCTGAGCAGCCATTTTTCAAATAAGTCAGTGTTTATTGGTCACCAGAGAAGTAACAGCCTTTAGTGAAAAGTCTGTTACCATATGCGTATCTTTCTATCAGACATCAACTGACGATGGCTCTATCTAGCTGCTCCTGGGCAATATTTTCCATATTATGAGGGACAAATGAAAGGCAACCTCTTTTCTCCATGGTTAATTATTGTCCTTGTTATAGTGTCACTTAGCTGGAGTAGAGGGAGGTCAGGAGAAGAAACACATGCAGACGTAACATTTTTAAAGTGTCTACTCTCAGATTACCGCATAGCAGTAAAGGTTCTGATTGAAATCTAATTATATGATGTAGCTGATTACAATGATTAAAATAGTATCACAGGAGATGCAATGTAAATTGTTATGGAAACACAATTTTTGAGATAGTTCAAAATGCAAGGACGTTTGGAGATGCTAACAATTTAGAACTGCTAATAAAAGGTCAGGCTAAAAGGCTATTTGAAAGATATAACTATCTTTTTTCTTTTTTGGTACTAACAACACCAAGATAATTTTTCACATTCACAGTATAAAATGTAGGTAAAACTATCAATATTTTTCCTGCATTGTTTGAAATTGCATGTATAGAACTAAATATGCCAATTGTTCTATGATCCAGAACATAATAGTGCATTATATATTTAGAAAACCAAGCCCTTCTAGGTCTGGATAAATATACAATATGTAATATTGTCACAGTTAACCAATAATAGAAAAACAGGCAAAATGTGATGTTTTCTGAGTTAAACAATTAGTAATGTTTAAGCATTTTTCCTTGTGTATGCGGTGAGTATGCACATGATCAGGCTTGCATTCTATCTGTACAATTAAAATTCACAATAATTTCTGAAATAGATTCTTTTTTCCTTTGATACATATGCTTAAGTGTATATATTTTCACATATAAATAATTCCATATTTAGAATATAGCTTCATTATCAGATATGTATGTACCGTGCACAGAGTTAGAGTTCAAACTGTTGAGGTTCTGGGGTGGTGGGAGATCAGGGTACGGAAATGCGAGATTGCCACGGACAGAGATCTTCCCAGTAGCTGATAAACAGTGCCACTGTGGACGTAATACACATATGCAAAACAATGAAGAAAGAAGACCTCATTAGACTGCCATACACACAAAGCTACAAGTAAAAAATCCTATACTGTATCCTATAATTGACTTCAGGTCAGTAAAGAGAAAAGCTCTCAAACTGACCTATCCGAAGATGGAATAGACTGTCTCAAAAAGCAGTGGCACCCAGTGATTCAAGGAGTGACATCTGCACAAGCAGGAAAGCAGTTAGAAGCCGATCCTGTGTGCTAATAACAACCAGATGGTTTGGAAGTAGCCGAGAGACTGTGCCAAAGAGCAAAAAGAAATGACATAGCTAAAAGAGAAAAGGTCAGATGAAGACAGAATATTAACTCTGAGGATAAAAGCTTTATATTTGATATAACAGGCACTAGAAAATTACTAACTGCTCTTAAACAGAGGAGAAAAGCATTACACCTGTGTTTGAGGAGCATTATGCTAATGAGTCTGTATGGCCTAGAACTGAAGAGGGCAGGATTTCAAAGGCTAAGTCTCTTAATGCAGTATCACGTTTGGTGAGTGGCTACAGAAAAGAAAGAAGGAGCAATGGGTAATGCAGGCCAAGAGCTATCGATGAGAATACAAGTCAACAAATCAAAATATTTTATGTTATCATGTTAGGATCAAATACGACAAAGAAAAATGCAGAAAAGAATTTCTGTTTCCATAATAATAGGTAGGGTACCTAAGGTTTCAATTTTCACTTAACAAGATCAAAACATGTTATACTGGAACAATCTAGGTTCATGGGTTAAGTGAAGTATGATAGGGTACCATCATGGATTCAAAACTTACACAGTCACTATAACTTAAAAAAAAGAAACATTAAGTTATACATCGGAATGAAAGGTTGGCCAACCATTTTGAAAATGCGTAACGTTGTCACAAATGGTGTTGGTTAAAAATTGTTGTGAAACATAGAGCCACAAAAATTCAACCTAAAAACATATATCTGATGTTAGTAACAACATTTTTTAATTTAAGAAAAAAGGTATTTTTTAATCTACTTGGCATATTGATAGTAATTCATATTTTAAATAAAATGATTGCGATGGTATGTTTTAGATATATTTAAGTGAGCACATAAATTATTCTCAAACACATTTAGATAGATATTTACTATTGTTAATAACATAGTTTTTACTTGTTTTACAAATTGTTATTTTCAGAAGTTTCTTATGCCAAATAAATTTGCATAGTACAAATTCCTCAAATTGTTTTTGGAGATTTATTTTTTACATTAACTGTGCCAGTATGGAATAGCTTTGTGGTGTTTCTACTTCTATTACATAAGGTAGCATGATGACTTTTTCCTTCTTGTCCCATCCATTTTTACAGCAATTAACTGTATGTTCAGATGGCATTTCAGAGTATTAATATAAAAAACAACCTAACTGAATCCTGTCTGACCCCAATAGTAATGGCTCTCTTGTTAAACTAAGAGAAACACATCTGTGATCTTTCTTACAGTGATCAAATTTTTAAATATTCTAAACTAGGAGTTATTTTATTTCTAACTGTCATTTCTGTGATTCTAAAAATATCCTATCAGAAAAGGCCCATTTTAATTTGATTATCCTATTTTGACTGAGATAGTCTTTAGCTAATTTCTTACTATTTCTGTATTGGAGGAATTGTTGGAATTCTTAGTGATTTTAAAGCTTGTGGGTACACAAAGGATACAAAAATACTGATTCGAAGGGATATAAACACAGGCACCTGATGTTTATAGCAGCATTACCTACAGTAGCCAAATTATGGAAAGAGCCCAAATGTCCGTGAACTGACAAATGCATAAAGAGGTGTGGTATGTGTATGTATATATATAATGGAATATTACTTGACTATAAAAAAGAATGGACTCTTACCATTTGCAAAGACATGGATGGAGTTAGAGAGTATTATGCTAAGTGTAATAAGTCAGAGAAAGACAAACACCATATGATTTCACTCATACATATGGAATTTAAGAAACAAAACAAATGAACACGGCGGGAAAAAGAGAGGCAAGCCAAGAAACAGACTCTTAACTATAAAGAACAAACTAAGGGTTACTGGACGGGGGCTGGGCAGGCAGATGGGTTAAATTGGTGATGGGGATTAGGGAGGGCATTTGTGATGAGCACTGGGTGTTGTATGTAAGTGACGAATCACTAAATCCTACACGTGAAACAAATATTACACTGTATGTTAACTAACTGGAATTTAAATAAAAATTTTGAAAAGAAAAAAAATAAAGCTCTTGAGTACAAAAAACAGATTGGTGGTTGCCAAAAACAGGGAGTCGGGGAGGGTAAAATTGGTGAATGGAGTCCAAAGGTACAAACTTCCAGTTATAAAAGAAGTCATGGCATGTAGAGCATGGTGACTATAGTTAATAATACTGTATTGCATATTTGAACGTTGCTAAGAGTAGATCTTAAAAGTCTCATCACAAGAAGAAAAATTGTAACTAGTATGGTGACTTGTGGGTGATCATTTTGCAATATATACAAATACTGAATCATTAGGTTATACCCCTGAAGCTAATATAAGGTTATATGTCAATTATACCTTAAAAGAAATCACAGTGATTTTTAACTCTTATTTATTTTATCTAAAGAGAATTTTGTGTCTGCAACACAAGCCTTTAAGAAACTAGCTAACTGACACTATAAGCATTAGTTAGGTTCTTTTCAGAGTAATGTTATAGATTATGAGTTCATTTAATGTCCAGATGTGTCCCACAAAGAATCATTTGGAAAAACATCTCTCACCAAACATTTCTAGTTCATTTTTTAAAATCACATTAC